TCAAAGCAAGTGCTGATGGAGAAGCTGCAGCAAGTTATGCAGAAGATCTAGCTAAGTAGTTATTGAAGGTGGCTATACTCAACAACAGATTTTCCATGTAGACAAAACAGCCTTATACTGGAATAAGATACCATCTAGGACTTTCCTAGCTAAAGAGGAGAATCAATGTCTGGCTTCAACGTTTCAGAGGACAGGCTGACTTTCTTGTTAAGGGCCAATGCAGCTGGTGACTAATTTAAAGCCAATGCTCATTTACCACTCTGAAAATCCTAGGGCCCTTAAAAATTATGTTAAATCACTCGGCCTGTGCTCTATAAATGGAAAAACAAAGCCTGGATGATGGCATCTCTCTTTACAACATGGTTTACCAAACATTTTAAGCCTGCTGTTGAGGCCTACTGCTCAGAAGAAAAGATTCTTTTCAAAATATTACTGCTCACCCGAGAGCTTTGATGGAGATGTACAACCAGGTTAATGTTTTGATGCCAGCTCACACAACTGCCATTCTGCAGCCCATGAAGAGGGATCATTTCAACTCTCAAGTCTTATTATTTGAGAAATGCATTTCAAAAGGTTACAGCTGCCAAAGATAGTGATTCTGCTGGTGGATCTGGGCAAAGAAAATCGAAAATCTTCTGGAAATGATTCATCAGTCTAAATACCATTAAGGAGATGTGTGTGTGTATGTAAAATCTTCTGGAAAGGATCCATCAGTCTAGATGCCATTAAAGAGATTTATTTGTGTGTGTGTATGTGTGTGTGTGCGTGCATGCATGCACGCTTAGTCATGTCTGACTCTTTGTGACCCCATGGACTGTGGCCTGCCAGGCTCCTCCGTCCATGGGATTTTTCAGGCAAGAATATTGGAATGGGTTGCCATTTCCTCCTCCAGGAAACCTACGGGAAGAGGTCAAAATACCAATATTAACAGGAGTTTGGATGAAGCTGACGCTAACCCTCATGGATGACTTTGAGGAGTTCAAGACTTCAGTGGAGGAAGTCACTGTAGATGAAGTGAAAATATCAAGAGAACTAGAGATAGAAGTGGAGCCTGAAGATGGGGCTGAATTGTTGCAATCTCATGGAAAAAAACTTTAATGAATGAGGAATAGTTTCTTATGGATGGGCAAAGAAAAGGCGTTTCTTGAGTTGGAATCAATTCCTGAAGATGCTGGTGAAATGACAACAAAGTATTGGACTTCCTTGATGGTCCAGAGATTAAGAATCTGCCTGCCAACGCAGTGGACATGGGTCAATCCCTAGTCTGGGAGGATCCTACAAGCTGTGGGACAACTAAGCCCGAGGGCCCTAGAACCCGTGCTCCGCGACAGAAGCTACCACGGTGAGAAGCCTACGGACCACAACTAGAGAGTAGCTTCACTCTCCACAACTAGAGAAAGCCTGTGCACAGCAACGAAGACCTTAGTGCAATGAAAAGAAAGAAAGAAAAAAAGAAAACCTTAAAAAAAAAAAAAAAGGAATTGGAGTATGACCTGAAGTTAGTTGATAAAGCAGCAGAAGGATGAGAGGATTGACTTCTATTCTGAAAGAAGTTATACTGTGGGTTAATGCTACCAGACAGCACTGCAGGCTACAGAGATATTGTTCATAAATGAACAAATCAATTGATAAGGTAAATTTCACTGTTACCTTATTTTAAAAAATTGCTACAGCCACCCTAACCTTCAGCAACCACCACCCTGATTGGTCAGCAGCCAGCAATGAGGCAAGGCCCTCCATCAGCAAAAAGATTATGACTTGCTGAAGGCTCAGACATTGATCAGCAATTTTTAGCAATAAGATATTTTAAAATTAAGGTATGTACATTGTTATGGGGCTTCCCTGGTGGCTCAGTGGTAAAGAATCTGCCTACTAATGCAGGAGACGGGGTTCGATTCCTGGGTCAGAAAGATCCCCTGAAAAAGGAAATGGCAACCCACTCCAGTATTCTTGCCTGGGAAACCCCATGGACAGAGGAGCCTATGGGTTTACAGTCCATGGGGTTGCAAAACAGTTGGATGCAACTTAGCAACTAAACAACAACAAAAACATTGCTTATTTAGACACGGTGCTACTGCACACTTAACAGACTCCAGAATAGTGTACACCTAACTTTGATACGCACTGGGAAACCAAAACATTCATATGCCTCCCACTGATAGGGGACAGAGTAAAGGGGCAGAGTAGGTAATTAAACAGTTGATCCCACTAGGGGATTGTAAGTAAAGAAAAGAGTATAGGAGACCCCTGTAAGTTAATGATCACTCAAGAAAGCAGGCTTGCCTAGCAACAAAACCAGGCAGCAGGAGCATGAGACATGCCCCCAAAAGAAGAAAACAATGGTGGTATGAGACCCACATCCTGATAGGTGAGCTTAGTAAGTTAATGATTCCTATGACACGCTCCTCTGTGTGCACTAAAAACAAAAATATAAGGAAACAGTTACATTGTATTTACTAAAACCTGAGATAATGTACCATTTTTAGCACAAGTACTTACACTTATGCAAAAGAGCATAAGCTCATTTGTTCATTTCCACTGTGCTGTGACCATGACCATGGAGGGACAAGTAAAATCCCCTGCTCAACATGGACGAGGAGCTGATGATGGAAGCGTGACGTCTACTCAAGGAGGAGGAAGGTGGTCCTCTCCCCCTCCTCACTTTTCCTTTGATTATAAAACTGCAGCCCACTAAGTTTCAGGGGCATGGCTCCCTCTCGTCCGCCTGCTTGTAAGCCTCACAAGTGCCCTATTCTAATAAATCACTTCTTAACTATCACTTTGCCTCACTGTGCTGAGATATAAAGAACTGGAGCTCCTTGGAGCCCCAGAAACGCTGCCCAGTGGTTTCTGTTGTTGCTGTTCAGTTGCTAAGTCTTGTCTGACTCTTTGTGACCCCATGGGCTGCAGCACACCAGGCTTCTCTGTCCTCTACTGACTCCTGGAGTTTGCTCAAATTCATGGCCACTGAATTGGTGATACTGTCTACCCATCTCATCCTCTGCTGCCCCGTTCTCCTCCTGCCCTCAATCTTTCCCAGCATTAGTGTCTTTTCCAATGAGATGGCTCTTCACGTCAGGTGGCCAACATATTGGAGCTTCAGCTTCAGCATCAGTGCTTCCAATGAATATTCAGGGTTGATTTCCCTTAGGATTGGCCTAGTTGTTTCACCATGACTCTTATTAGATTTATTTATCTAATCAACTCCTCTGTAAGTAACTGATCTCCCGTTTCCACTGCCACCCTGGCTCCCACACAGGCACTCCTTGGCTCACCAGGACTCTGCTGCCCCACAGGAGGCCGGCCTCTGCCAAGGAGAGGCCTTGTCATCCGCCTGGGCTCTGACTCTGCAGGCCTCTTCTCACGTGCCACTTGGCTGTGGACTCTGTGTCAATGCCCTTAACATCCTGCCTGAGCTCTGATACTCCACATTGGGGCACTCTCCAAGTGTAGATGCTCTCTGCCTGCTAGGCTGTGACATGCCACCCCAGGATGCACCCCCACCCCCAAACACAGGTGCCTGTCTCACCCTGCTGTGGCTCGGACACCCCAAGCTGGACCAGCCCTTACATGGACATCCCAACTGCACTTGGGCTACCCTCACTGGTGCATCCACTCTCGGGAAGTCCTTCTCCCCAGCTCTGTTCCTGTCGCCCCAAACGAGCACCTCCTCCTCTGTACGGGCACTTACCCCTCCTGGCTTGGGCTCGGACTCCTGATGCCACCGTCCTCACACCCTGCTTGGCCACTGACGTCCCCACACACGGACACCCTCTTCACCCTGATCAGGCTGTGACGCCCCTCAGGCAGCCCTCCCTGAGCTGCACACCTACCTGGCTCTGCCTCACCTAACAGCTTCAGGACTGAACTGTTCAGGAAGGGAAAGGTGAAATTTTAATTTAACTAATTTTTTTTCAGGGTTTTTTTTTTTAAATGTGGGCCATTTTTAAAGTCTTTATTGAAAGTATTACCATATTGTCTCTATTTTATGTTTTGTTTTTTTTTGGCTGGGAGGCATGGGGGATCTTAGCTCCCTGATCAGCGACTGAACCCACACCCCCTGCATTGGGCATTGGACAGGGAAGTCTTAATTACTGGACCACCAGGGAAGTCCCCTAATTTAACATTTTAAAGAAATGAAATGTTCTCAAAGAAGATGTACTGTAGGAAAATGCTTTAAACTGTTAATTTCCTAGACTTAAAATGCACTACACAAAAGGACAAAATAGAGCTAAATGAAAACAGAAAGTCACTTGGAATATAACTTACAGATAATCTTTGTTAACTGATAAATCTATATTTTCCATGTACATGCAAATTACATCCCTTTATAAAAAGCATTTTGAAATACTATTTACTTAACACAGATCATAAATATCGTTTCAGCCTATTAGTAGCTATAGTGAATTCCGTTTCAAGGTTTTACTATAACTCATTTAACTCTCTTCTCGCATTGAATATTCTTGAAATTTCTTTCCAACTGCTTATCCTCAAGCAAAGCTGTGAGTTGCTGGCTAAGAGGGAACAGTATCATAAGGGCTTTGCATTGCTGTTGTTTAGTTGCTCAGTTGTGTCTGACTCTTTGCAACTCTATGGACTGTAGCCCGCCAGGCTCTTCTGTCCATGGGATTCTCTAAGCAAGAATATTGGAGTGGGTTGCCATTTCCTTCTCCAGGGGATCTTCCCCACCCAGGGACTGAACTCACATCTCCTACATTGGCAGGCAGATTCTTTACCACTGAGCCACCAAGGAAGCCCAGCGCTTTCGATACGAGATGCCAAATTCCTTCCAGAAAGAGTTATTTGGGTTAAAAGGGTGAGGAAGTGTAGGGAGCTCCATAAAATGTATAAAAAGTGTTAGAAGCTTGCTGACTGGGAGGGACCAGAAGCCCCAAAACATGACAAAGAGAGCCAGACAGCCTCTCATGCCCAGAGGATCAGACTGTGGGATACACGGGAAGCAAACTCTGGTCTCCCAGGAGAAGGGAAGCTCCACTTACCTGCAAGCAGGCCTTCAGGGGCCCCTGGGGCTTCTCATCCTGCTTTTCCATGCTCTCCTCCAGGCACAGGCAGGGGCCTGAGATCCTGAGCTGCAAGAGGAAAAGTCCTGTGTATAGCATCCTCATGTAGGTCCACTGTGGGCCACACCCCACCATCAGCCTCTGCTTCAGGGATGCAGTCTCCAAGGCAACTGTGTTTCTAGAGGCTCCTGCCCAGATAGAGTCCTGCCTGCATAGCTATGCCTGCACCTAGAGTCGCACCATAGTCCCTCTCCCAGGCCAAGACTTTGCAGTTCCAACCTGGATGTTACAGTGTCTGGGGCCTCTGGACCACCTTCCTGGAAGCCTACCATGTGCCCAAGCTCCACCTTATACCCATCACCAAAATCTGCAGCATGAATCAGTCTCTGTCCCACCGGATCCTGGGACCACGCCCCCCCAACAAACACCCAGCACACTGAGGATCCCCTAGTGTGCACCTGCCACCCCCAACCTGAATCTGCACACCCAAATCAGCACTTCTTCCTAGGGCAAACAGCAGGGATCTGGGCTTGATGTTGTTGTTTACTTGCTAAGTTGTGTCCGACTCTTGCAACCCCATGGACTGTAAACTCACAGGCTCCTCTGTCCATGGGACTTCCCAGGAAGAATACTCAAGTGGGTTGCCATTCACTTCTCCAGGGCATCTTCCCATCCTAGCGATCGAACCTTTGTCTCCTGCATTGCAGGCGGATTCTTTAGCATTGAGCCACCAGGTAGCCCCCTGGGCTTGACGACCCAGAGTCAAACACTTGATTAATTCCGTGAAGTTCATTACTTAGCCGTGCCCCTCCCAGGATCCTATCCTTCCACTGACCCTCCAGCACCTGTCGATTGCCTCTCACTTCCTGTTCAAAAAGCCAAGCATACTCACAGAGCTCAGCTACACCCACGACCTCCTCCCTCCTCCGTTCTGGGATAGGTGGGCCCCTACCAGAAGAGTGCCAGCCCAGACTCCCCACCACTCAAAATCCTCCAGGGGGGCGCCCCCCCCCCCCCCCCAACCCGGTGTGCTCACCGCTGAGTCCAAAACATGGCCGGCATGGGGCTGGGGGTCGCCCTGACAAACACAGTCCCTGCTAGCCCCTCCTAGACCCTGAATGTGGACCTGTTGTCTGTGTACCGACTCGATGTTTCTGGGTCTGAGACTCGAACAGCTCCTGGCAAATCCTCGCCTACACAAGCCATCCCTGCCCCATTGCTCTCTATTACCCATCCCTCAGCAGTACCGTGTGAGTTCACAATGCAGCTGTACCCTGAACCTGCACCCAAACCGCTTTCTCCACCAACCTCCCCAGCCTCTTAGCTGCGTCGCACCCGGGACGCGCGCAGAGCACAGTACCGGGATCTGCAGTTGCCCCAGCATCACCACCAACTTCTGTGATCTGAGGCTGAAGCACCGCCCACGCAGGTCCCAGATCGCCCACCCACATACCCGGTCCCAGCCACCTGCCTAGACCCTGCGCATGCGCGCACCAGGTACCCGGCGTTGCCCCACCCCCTCACCAACCTGAGCGTCCACCAGCTCGAGGGCCAGGCAAGGCCTGTCACAGCCTCAGTGCCCACCACTGCTCTGCGGCAAGACGAGCTCGGTTAGGCAATTCTCTGCCACGACTCTGCACACAGCAGGCTAGGCTTAAGCTAGTTCTATCCCCTCCTTTAGTCGGCATCTACAAGGCCGCTCGGCTTAACCGCCAAAGGGCCGAGGTGCTCGGAGACTTGCAAGCGGCCGCGCGCGGGACAATGGCTGCACTTCTGGCCGAACCCGGAAGTGCGTTTGGACTCTGCGAGCCGGAACTACAATTCCCAGAAGTCTCGGCGGCTCGGGTGGTGATTGGGGGTGGTCCCTGGTTCTTAGCTGGGGTGGACTCGGGAGGTGGCCACACAAGAACCAGGAGTGAAAATTGAATTAGCGGCTGAAGGGTGCGAGTGTGCGCGTCCGAGTTTTTGCGCGGCGTTGACACTAGGAGCCAGATCGGAAATGAAGGCCAAAAGACCGATGCGTGGGAAGTGCTGGTTTGGGAAGGGCCGGCCCTGGGCTCGGCTTGACGTTCAGGAGTGACAGTGAAAACCGGATGTGGTTGGAAACGTATTTTCATACAGCTTTATTTTTAAGCTTTCTCCTTTAATACTGTCAAGAAACTGTAGTTTTCCTCACGTAAATCTGACTTTAACGAAAAATTATTGTTGTTTGAAATGTAATCTCTACCCTCAAAGTTTCTTATAGCTGGTTATTGTGGCTGATTTTTTTTTTTAAGTATTTATTTTGTATCTGGTTAACCTACTGAGTTTAAGTAAACTCCGGGAGCTGGTGATGGACAGGGAGGCCTGGCGTGCTGCGATTCATGGGGTCGCAAAGAGTCGGACACGACTGAGCGACTGAACTGAACTGAACCTACTGAAATGTTCTGAATTCTTATAGTATTCCATTTGATTTTCCTGGCTTCTCTAGTGAGCCGGTCATCTACAGATAGTAATTTCATCTCTTCCTTACCGGTATTTTTAACCAGATACTCCCTTTTACAGAAAATAAAACTGAAGCCCAGTAATATTAAGTAACAGGTTGTATTGTAAGGGCCGAGTTAGTATTTGAGTTCAAGAAGTCTGACTCTGCAAAGTATATTGGTAGAAGCATGGGATGGGGACAGTTTCAGTTTAGGAAGGTGAAAAATTCAGGACCTGGAAGATGGTGAGATTTTCACAATAATATCAACGTACTTAGTGCCACTGAACTGTATGGTTAAATATTGTTAAGATAATATGTTTTATTTAAATTATGTGACTTTTACCACAGTAAAAGAGAAAAGTCTGACTCTGGAATCCATGCCGTTAATTTCTACATTATGCAATTTGCCCCTTGCCTACATACCAGGATCTTTCCTCTACATAAGCAATACTTAGTTTACAAACAAGACAGAGAAAGGAGCTTCCCTGGTGGCTCAGCTACCAATGCAGAAGACATGGGTTCAATCCCTGTTCCAGGAAGATCCCACATACCATGGAGTGTATCTATTGAGCCTGTGCTAGAGCCCAGGAACCCTAGAACCCATGCTCAGCAAGAGAAGCTCATGCACCAAAACTAGTGAGTAGCTCCTGCTCACCACAACTAGAGAAAAGCCCAAGGAGTAACGAAGACCCAGCACAGCCAGTAAATAAAATAACTTTAAAAAAGACAGAGAAGGGTTCACATTTATTTAGAAGAGAAGCCAAAAAAAGCCCTACAAATAAATTTGGTAAAATAAATTTAGAGACATTAATAGAAACCTTTGAAACTACTGAGATAAAAGACGTACAAATGCCACATTACAATGGTTGTGTTGTAACAAGGTCAAATCTTGTAGACTGATCTACAGATTTAGTATAATAAGGCAAAATCACGATGGGGTCTTTGGAGTGTTAGCTCATCTTCCCTTTTTTCTGTTCACTTTTTTGTTTTCATTGTTTTTTTCACTTCAAGATATTCAGACATTAAAGCACTAGTACTATATAACTTAAAACTGACTTTGTCTTCTGTTTCACCATTTTTTTCTTTCAAAACGAACAAGATGGTAATACCTACTTGCAAGAGCACCTGAATCCCTGACCTAACCTGAATATTACAGACTTTGGAATAGCTACTCCTGAGGAACAGAAACTCATTCTACACAGATGACCATCTAACCCAGAGAGTTCTCTCTCAGTTGCTTGAGGATTGGCTAAGACCCAAGTTTCATACTGAGGTTCTATTGTCCAGGAGTTGGGTGAGGGCTCAATATCTACAGAATAGCAAAGAAGTTATAAATTCATTTGCTTTAAAGACAAAGATAAGGGGGAGGGAGAGTGTGATCTGCTCCGCTGATACGCGGGGGAAGCAAGGAGGAAGTTCTCAGCAGGATGAAAGGACAGCCCGTTTCCTTCGCTGAATCCTCTACCTCAAACTATAAATGTTGGAGGGACCAGTGCTTCGTGTGTCAGCCCCTACTCTTTTCCTGTCTTCATCCACTCTCTTTGGGATCTGTAGGGGAAAAGGTTAACTCAGCAGGTCTGAGTTGCTCAAACCCTACCTATTCCCCCCAAAAAAGCCTATTTCAAAGGACTAGTTCTTGGTCAACTTCCTGGAAACTGAGGAACATAGTTTCTTCCAGACTTCACCATCTGTACCTTTTCCTTTTGCTGATTTTACTCTCTGTCCTTTTGCTGCCATGAGCCATAACAATGGTCATAACAACTTGGAGGTCCTATGAATCCTTCTAGCAAATCATTGAGCCTGAGGGTGGTCCTGGGGACCCCTGACACAAGATCTCATCTAACCCCATAACTTTAAATCCCACTGACAACTCCCAAATGTATATTTCCAGCTCTGCTCTATCTAGACATTTAAAAAAATTTTTCTGTTTACAGGTTTATTCAACACAAAACAATCTCTTTCAACTTTACTGAGGTGGCTGACCATGTCCATGACCAAATCCGCCTCTAAACTGGAATTCAGTTGCTGACCCAGCCCCAGCCTCAGCTTTCTTGTCGGCACCAGGGGGCAAGGCACTTCGTCTGTAGGTGTTTCTGTCAGCTTCCCCTCGTGTGAGCCTTGCAGGTCGCTCTCCCTCCAATCTTTTGGGCCTTGGCCGGCCAGTCTCAGGATGGCTGTGGCACAGGGTGGCAGGCACAATCTCAGGGAGACGGTTGGAGGATGCCCTTGTTGGTGAGATGCCAGTAGAAGTGTCTCCAGGCAAACTGTTCTTTCACATAGCCTCGTGATTTGAGAGACTGCATGGCTTTCGTGACGTACAGATTGGGCACGTTCTTGTCTGACAGCTCCAGGTACTAGGACATGTGGACATTCTTCTTGGCCACCATCACCCCTGCCTTAAAAAGGAGTTCATAAATGCCAATCTGGTTCTTCTTGGGCATCAACATCATGACAACTGCTGTGATCGGGGCCAGAGCTGGAAAAGAAGTTATCTAGACTTCTATGAACATTTCCCTACTTGATTCTCTGATTGATCCTTGACATGTCAAACCAAATTCTTGATTTCTCTCTCTGTCCCAGATTTGCTCCTTCCCCATTGTTGCTTCAGAAAGTGGCCTGAAGAAACTGTCATCCAGTTGCTCTGGCCAGAAACCTGGGAGTCATCCTTGTTCCCTTTAGCAAATCTCATCCTCACATCTCCATCCCCGAGCCTCTTGAGATTCAAAGCATCTCCAAAGATGCCTGCATCTCCCTAGGTGCCTTATTCCCATGCTGCATTCTGTGTTTTCTCTTGTCATCTCTTAATAGCTCCTTGTTCCTTATCCTCTACTATGATTTGAAAAGACACTGCTTGTCTGACCCGTGGATACATCCCGTGCTCCACTCTGGCTGACTCAGGCTCAGACTTCTCCCCGCCTGCTGTGTCCATCAACAATATACATAGTAAACACTATGACGTCCCCAGCTTCTGGGTATCAGACCTTGGTCCTTTAATTCTAGGTGGCTTTTGACTTGTTTCTATTGCTTTTAAAGAAACATGAGCCCAAAACTTAAGATTTGGTGAGAGCTAGGGTCTAGAGCCTGAAAAAGACATCGAAACAGAATGTCACAAGGTTTACAAAGAGAATGGCTGAAATATAATGTGTATGTAATAAACATCATTGCATATATGATTGAGTGTGACTTCTTCAGGATTTCTGGAGAAAGGATCTCGCTTCCATTAGGCGGGGCGGTTGATTTGGCAGTAGATGTTGTTTTCTGGATTCACAAGCACCTATTACACAAAGAGAAGAGGTAAGCTCCAGTTCTGGTGGGCTTTCCTGGGCTACTTGCTGTAGGGGCTCAAACTCTCTGGCATTCTCCTTTCTCAACCTTGAAGATTCCGAAGATCTTCCTTTCTCATTGTACTTCAGTCATGCTGACACCTTTCCGTTCCTGGAATGGCCTTTGCTTCCCCATAGTGGAGGACAGAGTCTAAGGTGACCCCCATAATCCTCACCTCCTGGTATTCATGCATGTGTCTGTGCTTAGTCCATCAGTAGTGACAGATTCTTTGCCAGCCTATGGATTGTAGCCCGCCAGGCTCCTCTGTCCATGGGATTTCCCAGGCAAGAAGACTGGAGTGGATTGCCATTTCCTTCTCCAGGGGATCTTCCCCACCCAGGGCTTGAACCCAGGTCTCCTGCATTGCAGGAAGATTCTTTACCATCTGAGCCACCAGGGAAGTCCCCTGGTTTTCATGCCCTGATGCAAACCTCCCCTTGAGGGCAAGACCTGTGACTTGCATCTAACCATTTGAATATGGCAAAGGTGACAGGAGGTATCTGCTTACATTGTGTGATTATGTTATATAACAGTGTGACATCTCTCTTGGCTTTGAAGAAGTGAGGTACAACGTTGGGAGCTGCCTATGGAAAGCACTGAACTGAGTGCAGCCCCCAGCTGACAGCTGTCAGACACTGAGGCCCTCCTTATGACAGCCTGCAAGGAACTGAATGCTTCCAGCAACCCGAAGAGCTCAGATGTGGATCCCTTCCCAGTAGAGCCTCAGATGAGACCTGAGACTTGGCCAACGCCTTTTTTGCAGCCTTGCAGAAGACCCATCTGAGAATTGCCTGAACTCCTGACCCAGGAAACTGTGAGATAATAAATATGTGTTGTTTTAAGCTGCTAAGCTCGTGGTAATTCTTTATGCATCAATAGATAAAAAATACGTTCACTTCAGGACCTTTTCACTTGATTGATGCTCCTCAACTCAGAACACTCTACTCTGACCCTCTGTGTTGTGTGCTCCTTCTCACCCCTTCAGAAGGTAGCAGACACTGAGGTGTCTGACCTGACACTCCTCCTGTATCTTCCCTCTTGCCTGCTTCTACTGGAGAGAGTGGGAAGGATAACAGCTAATTTTCTCAGCCTTCCTTGCAACAAGGGCCACATGACAGCATCCCAGCCCAAGGAGACATAAGAGGAAGTTTAGTGGGTGAGATTTCCAGGAAGAGCTTTTGCTCCACTGATAAAAAGGAACAAATGAGACTCCTTCCCCCTAGATCCTGATGAAGAGAGGGACCTAAGAGGCTATGTTTGTACCAGTTCACAGATAATTAGGGAGCTGACAAATGTCAGCACAATCCATACAATTGCCTGAACAACTGTGCTTCTCCTATGAAGAATCTGAACCAGAAACCTTTAGATAGTAGTAGAGGGTGTTGTCATATATAATTTGAAGTTATAGAGGAGCAGTGACCAGAAAGCTTGCATAGGCATTCAATCTGAACCAAGGAGAATGGAACAAATTCACTGATCAGCAAAAATGAGCAACCACCCTTATTAAAATGTACAAGGCACAAATAAATACTTTTCCTTATTTAAAAAAAAAATGAGCAGCCATAAGAGAGAAAAACTTCCTGATTCTAATCCCCACAAGGCCCACAAGTAACTTCTGACATTGGTTACCTGAGATTCCTCAGTGTTTTCTCAATGAATCACCACTTTAATTAATCTGAACTACTGTCAAGGGGTTTGTTTTTCTTATTAAAAATCCCGAAGACATTTAGACATTCACATCTTTTGAGAATGGCTCATATGACAGGTAATGAAGCAGAATGGAATGTGGTACAACAGGGTGGGATGGATTACAGAAGAATGAACAGGAAACAGGAGGGTTGTATATATATACAAATATATATATGTATAACTGAATCACTTTTCTGTACATCAGAAGATAACACTACATTATCTTAGTGAAGTAAATCAAGTAGACGTCAATAAAATAATTTTTTTAAAGTAGAAGTAGAATGGAAGACAATGCAATGAAAGGGAACAGAAAATAATGAAACAGAACTGAATGGCAGGGGGAGGGATGAGGAAGAGGAAAGAAAGAAGGGAATGAAAAGAAATAGAATGAGAAGAAATGGAATGTGGTGGAATGAAAGAAAGCTGACCAAATGGAAATGAATACAAATAGGACACTGACTAGAGAGGAGTGGACTAGTAGGAAACAGAATGAAATGAGTGGATTAAATATGCGGATGGAAAGAACAGGAATTATATGGATCAGGAAGGAGAAGAATGGAAATGAAATAAAATAATAATGAAATGAAAGTGAAAATAATAAGAGTAATAAATGAAAGTTATGGTATGGAAATGGAAAAGTGATAGCCAGGATTAAAATAGACAGAAATGGAATGTGAAAGAAATGAACAGGTGGGATTGAAAAGGAAAAATAAAAAGGAATAAAAGGTAATAGGGAGAAGTGGGAAAGAATGGAAAGGAATGAAAGAAGAAAAGAGAAAACATGACACAATGGATGAGGCAGAATGGAATGGGATGGAATGCACAGGAATGGCATTGAGTAGTGGGAAGTGATGACAAGGAATGGAATGGGAAGTAATAAGAGGAACAGAAGAAATGGAAAGGAAATAAAAGGAATTTTATGGAAATAAATGGAGTGAGAGGGAGTGGAATGGAATGAAAAAAAAAAACAGAAATGGACTGGAGAGGAAAAAGTTGGAATAAAGTGAGAATAAATGAAATTAAATGGATAGAAAGCTAAACGGGTAGAGTGAAAATAAGTGTGATGGCAACACGGGATGGAGTGAAATGGATGGACAGGAAGGGAATGGAATGAAATGAACCAGAAAGTGATAGGATGAAAGGGGGTGCAAAGGGATTGAGAAGATTTTTGAAAGGAAATCTCTTGATAGGTTATCCTACAGACTCTTTAGCAAGGAGGGAAAGGGAGATTGGTGGCAGCTTTCCATCTGTCCAAAGACTCTGTGTGGCATAAAAATACCTCATAGTTTGACTCTGCATTTTCTTTTTGTAGAGTTGGGACCAAGGGATGCAATGCAAGTTTGGAGGATGGCTTCCTGGGGCCATGAGAATACCCGCCGAGGATGGTGGAAGGTGATTCCTGCTGCAAGTGAACAAAGAGATCAGTTAGGGCCCACAAGCAGTTTGTCTTAGAACCACAGCATCTGGTAAGTGCCAATGTGCACTCTTCAGAGATCCAGAGACAAAGAGATTCCCAACCAGGTTCTCTCAAAGGATCAGAAGCAGAAGTAGGCCTAGGACCAGAACTCTTCCTTTTCACCTGGCTACATCTGCAACTTCTAATCCAAAACGTCCTTTGCATCCTGTCACTTGCTAGGCCGGTATTAGCTTATGTGCAACCCAACTGCAAGCACTAGAAGTGGAAGCAGCGCACAGTAGGAGCTAGAATCCTAGACTCTGACCCAGGGACTTCCCTGGTCGTCCAGTGGTTAAGAATCCGCCTTCTAATGCAGGGAATATGGATTCGATCCCTGGTGGGAAACTAAGATCCCACAGGCCTTAGGGCAACTAAGTCCACAGTACAACTACTGAGCTCATGCACTCTGGGGCCCTTGAGCCACAACTAAAGAAAAACCCACCACACTACCACAAAGATCCCACAGGCCTCAACAAACATCTGGCATGCTGCAACTAAGACCTGACACAGCCATAAATAAACAAATAAATATACTTTTTAAAAGGAATCTAGCCCAGCTCCCTGTGAGGCCTTGAGCCACTTTCTTCCCATTCCTGGCCCAGCAATGCTCAATGAAAGATCTAGACAAGATGATTTCTCATACTTGTCAAATATAACATTCTCAGATTGTATTCCTTTGCAACTTCTTTAATAAAATCAAGCAAGGCCAACCTACCTCATATAATTGCTCCGGAGGGTCTACTGGCAGCATCTTGGGGAAAAAGAAAATAGTGAAGAGGTCCTGAGGCCTGGGATAAATGGTCACCCCTGGAAATTCTTGGAAATAGCTCAGGCCTCAGAGGCAGTTATACCTCTTCTGATTCCCAGAGGGGGCTCCAGGTTGGCATTGTCATGTGAAAGAGAAAGAAAACAAGGAGAAGAGATGAAAAAGCCATGGATGGTCTTGAGATCCCCAGAGAAAGTAGGGACCCAAGCTGCCACTGGGCATCCTTAAGAGAACATGCCTGAACTTCACCCCCACCCCAAGAGGTGAGACATAACAGCCCTGCTGGGCTGGGGAAGTGCCAGACAGTCAGGGGAGTAGAGGGGGTGCCTCTGGAGAATTACCCACCTTTTTGACTGGGATCTGTCCTTGAGTGGCGGGTACATTGGCATACACAGGCATGGGCAAGTCTAGAGAAAGTGAATGCCAGCCCAAGGCTAGAGTTAGGGAGAGATATGAGGGAAGAAGGGGCTTCCCCAGTGTCTCAGAGGTAAAGAATCTACCTGCAATGCAGGAGACATGGGTTTGATCCCTGGATTGGGAAGATCGCCTGGAGGAGGGCATGGCAACCCACTCCAATATTCTTGCTGGTAAAATCCCATCGATAGAGGAGACTGGTGGGCTACAGTCCATGGGGTCGCAAAGAGCCGGACACAACTGAAGCTACTGAGCACACACGCATGCATGAGGGAAGGGGCAATTTGTCCAGGCAGGGCACTTCTATCCCCAGGAAGGATGTGGCAGAAACCTTCCTTCTTCCATCCCCAGGACTACCCCATCACATCTCCAGTGATGTTGACCTGGGAAGGTCTTGGAAATCAAGTTCTGGGTTAGATAAGACTGTTTGATGATACAGATGAGGTCAGAAGTCTTAGACCCAGCCCCAGGTGTACCAGGGTCCTCTGTAGCCTGTGTTTATCATATATCCTCCCTGGCCTTGGTTTTCTTCTCTGTAAAACTGAGCTGAATTGGACAGTCCCAGAGGACTTCTGCTTCATGAGCCCGTCTTACCAGAATCTTAGACCAGACATGGCAAAGATGTTTCATTTTGCCTTTGGCCAAAGAAGGCTGCATGAGGTACTATATTGAGATGGACAGTGAGATTTGTTTTGAATTTAGCAGGGAGGAGTGTCATGATTGATTCTCTCTGCTTATAGAATCCATTAACAAAGTTTTCTCAGAGTGAGGAAGACTAGAATGGCGGTACATTGTCATATTTGTGTTGTGGCTGTTGGACAGGCAGAACTCCTCAGAGTTCTTGACCCTGATCTTATCCATTTTCCATATGGGGACACAGAGGATCCAAGACTACAGGGTTTGCCCATGATGTCATAGTGACCCAGGGGTGAAGCTGGGAGCAGAAGCCTGGGCTCTTTGCACCAGCCTCTTCTCCAGACCTCACTGCTGCCCTGGGTATCAGCTATGGAGTCACTTACTGCGACCAAGCTCTTCAGGGTGACCCTCTTCAGAAGTGGGTGTCATGTTCTCATAGACAGTATCCTCTGTTGTTCTCCTTGAGAGCCTGAAACCCCAAGACCCTTGTTCACTATGCCTCTAGTCCTTGCTCATCTCCACAGGCTCTGCCCATATCCTGTGTCCATTTTGGGCAACGTCCCAAACCCTCTCAGTTCCCAATAGGCACCACTCAGCACCATGGTCAGCAACCCTTCTACTGGGCAGGCGGTCCTCCATAGGCCACACCCCCACCCCACTCTGAGATTTACCTGTTGGTATTTCCAGTGTGCAGGAAGCAGCCCAGCCCTATGGCCAGGGCAATGACAGCCAGGATCCCGACAGTAATGCCAGCGATGGCCCCTGCAGACAGGGATGACTGGTGACCTGGGCAAGGAGAAAGAAGCAGGACCTCATCCCTGTCCCCAACCTCATTCCCAATCTTTGGGCTTTATCTCCACCGTCGTTTGATGAGTACTTGTTTTCCAGCCATTGGGAGGCAGGAGTTTATAGTAGTAATAGAATCATTTCTGGAGTCAAATGTCCTAAGTTCACATCTCAGCTATGTGACCTTGGCCATGCTACTTAACCTCTTTGTGCTTCCTTTGGCTCTTCCGTAAAAACAAAGATAATGTGAAGCCTACTCCATATTGTTGCTGAAAAGATTAAACATGTATGTATTCATGTTCAGTACATGTAAGGTTTGGTATGTTCAATGTGGATGAAGTATTTAGACCCATGGAAAGTGATCAGTCAGTGTTGGTGTGATGATGTTACTGATTTAGATGATGAATCAAATATGGCTGTCATACATGATCCTCTACATAGAAAACCCTAAAGACTCTACCAGAAAATTACTAGAGCTAATCAATGAATACAGTAAAGTTGCAGGATATAAAATTAACACACAGAAATCTCTTGCATTCCTATACACTAACAATGAGAAAACAGAAAGAGAAATTAAGGAAAC